CCCCTTAATCAAACCTTTTTATCGTAAATGTAAATTCGGAGACAATTAACACAAATAAACAATCTCTGCATATTACCATATGTTCGCATCAATTAACCCTTTTGCCAATTGCCGATTAAAGAAAACTTTCGAATAAACGATTCCTGGAACTTGTCTGTCAGAATGTAAATATTGTATGCAAGGAAGAAAAATAAATAAATAGGCTTTAAATGTTATGAAAATTGTAATAAATTACATAAAGAAAATTAATGTAACTTTATATTATTATCTATGAATATATATACAAATATATATGTATATAAATATATTTATATATATATATAAATCTATAAATGAATGGCTGTTAAAATTTAGAACTGGTTTATTATAAAGAAATAGACAAATTTTAAATCTATTTAATACATAGAGAATTCGCTCAAAAATAAATTTATTAATGCAAATAGAGTAACTTGACGTACGTGTGCATTTAGCTGTAATACATATATATGTATTTATGTATGAACGTAAATATATATATATATATATATATATATATATATACCTATATGCATATATATATACGTATATATATATATATGTATATATAGATATATATATATTTATTTATTACATATATGTGAATATGTATGTATGCATGTGTATATAATTATTTTTTTCTACCTTCTTATTGAAAGTAAATAAAAAATAAATTAAATTAATAATAAAAGTAGTGTAACAATAAAACATATATAATAAAAATGAATAAACGTAATACAAACTGAAATTTCAATAAAAAGATATTTGCAATATGCTAACAAACAAATAAATAAAATTCTGTTAATGTTTAAAAATTTTTCAAAAGAGATGAAAACGAAATTAATGTAAAAGTTCAATTAAAGAAAGACAGGAAAACAATTTATATATATAGTGCTATATATAAAAAATATTAAAATTTAATAAATGTTTGTAAAAAGTCAAAGAAAAAAAATGAGAGTTTTCTTCTAAAATGGCTTATATAGACACACACACACACACACACACACACAGCCAGACAGATAATCAGAAGTACACTTATATAAGGTAAGTTCAGGTAAATTATAACTTTCATTATTCTTTATACCCAAGGCATTACTTGCACAATCGAACAACTGTCTGTCTCTCTCTCTCTCTCTCTCTCTCTCTACAGATATTCCTAGTCTTCTTGTTGCAGAGAATTCAAAAGTATAACCAATAACCTTTTCCAAATGTGTCCTTACTTCGACGTTTGTACTTGATATTTTGTTTCTTAAAAAAAGTTGCGGGCTTGTTTACTATATGATGTTCAATTTTTTCAATATCTCCCAAGCAATAAGTACAATTAATCGAAGGAAGTTTCTTGAGAACAACACGCAATTATAAACTTCGTTCGCTACCTATCCTATCCTATCCTATTATCCGCTCCTTGACTGTAAGCGCAATCAGGCCGCGCTTATAATCCCAGGTCTGGTGCACAAATTTAATTTATAATATTTTTATGAAATGAGAAATAAATTTCATTTATATATATTACATATATGTATGCATATATTATATATATATATATGTAATGTAATTATATTTATTCCCCAGACCAGGGAATATAAGCCTTCGTTCTTCTTGGTCTTGTTAACTCGAAACGGATCCCTCATTGCGACGATTGTAATAATCGTTAACGCGTGATAATAATATTTTCGAATCAAATGTTAATTTATGGACAAAAACGATGGCAAAACAAGCAAACGTAAAACGAACGTCATTACATGCTATAGAATGGTATGATGTGAAGTTAGCGATCACAAATTTATAACAAAGGGACCTCGACAAAATTGAACATAGCTTCGAAATGCCTTTCAAGTATATCTTTATTAAAGAGAAGTTAAAATGAACGAAAAGATTACAGCATGCGGTTGTCCTAAACGTCATTTCCTTTTTTCTTAACAGTGCATCTTTTCACTCAGCCAAGTTCACATTTAAGTCGCACTGCACTGTCTTTGTATATTTGATAGCCGATATCGTAATGATTATGTGGCGAAAATTTTGTTTGATTCTGCGCAAAAGTTTTCATTTGATGTCTTATCTAATATGAAAAGGCAGATAACTAGGATTTTCGGGTCACTTTTACTTCTATTCAAACCAGAACAAAAATAATTGGATTGGTATGGAGGCGATGCATGGACAGAACGCCAGTCCCAAAGCTAGTTTACAAAATTTCATTTTGTCTTACTTTTGCATCACATTCTGAAAGGTGAGTTGGAACTACCAAGGTCATAATTAAGGCATTAATTGATGCTGACCCCGTAATGATAACTCGTGAGATCACTGAGATCATAAATTTATTGAATTTCGACGGCTCTTGATATGAAATATTTACACGCTATCAAGAAATCGGTTTTTGTTTTGATGAAAAAACGAAAAAAGACGAAACTTCTTTTCCTTATATGAAAAGATTCGGTCTTCGAGTCGAATGTAACTGTTTTTTCGTTTCATTTCTTTGATTTCTACTTCCCATATATTTAGAAAACAAACATTTCACAAACTTTCAATTGAAATCCACTCAACAAATGCTTGCAAAAAAAAAGGTAAAAATGATTTAAAAGCTTAGCAGTTGTTAGAAATTTGTTAGAAAAAGAAAAAAATAGAAATTTATCCTCTTTCAATATCAAAAACATTGATGATGTTTGGCACGATTGGAACGATGCCGTGTAAGGAGACGTTTTTCTGCTTTTTCATTAACGAAACGATTATTCCTTTTAACGCAGGTAAGTTCTTAAAGTTGTTGTTGTCGAATTTTTCTTTGCTTTTTTTTTTTTTTAATATATGTAAACCATATTGTTGCATACAAGGCATTACTAGCATTTGTGTTCCAAATGAATGAGAACGGAAATGCGATATCTCAGATTTTGGGCTTAACACTTTTTTCTCTTTAAAAGTTTAAAGAGTTAGTTTCATATTGCTTTAAATATGACATGAAAGAGAGTTTTTTTTTTTTTTTTTTAATTGAAATATATATATATATATATATATACATATATATACATATATATCTTATATTCGTACGTATAGAATGTTGTAGAGAGTTGTGTGAAGATAGAACGCTTCATGTACTTCTTGTACTTTGTCGCATATTTTAATTTAATTTTGTTTCACGTCGAACATGCGACATTACTCGCTCTCATCACTTTGAGCAAATCAAAGCCTCAATTATAACGTTGAACATAACTTCTTTAGTGATTCATAAACAGTTCTGAGGCATATGCGTAAGTCTAGTTTGGCAAACAGACTCGAGTTTCGCATACATAATTCATGCTTAATGCATTTGCAATCACTACGGTCGGGCAATGTAGACTATTGAACTACTGAAATTTATACGTCCTGTGAGAACTTACTATTCAAAAATGCGAAAAATAGATCAATGTCATCCAAATGGGGCGGAAAAACAGAAGCATATGCCAAATGATTATGTCGAACCAAGTTTCATCACGAAATCATTACGATAATTAGTTCGCGTTGTCCTATAAAGGCTAATCTTTTATGAAATCGTTTTTATCAAAAAAAAAAAGAAGTGAATCCGAACAAAAAGTTTTCACATTTATGTAGTGTGCCCGTATATTACTTTTTAACATGTGCAAAAAATTTGTTCATATAATGGCTTTTGGAACCTTGTGTCATATGAGCAATATGAGTCTCTAAATTAATTTTCAATAAGAATCTGGCCCGCCGATTAAACGCAAAAGTCAATATGAATAGACGTCAAACGAACGGACAGACTTAAATCGTTTCAAAAAATGACACAATGCTATATATGATGAATGTGTCTCAAGCGTTTTTGGATTTTGCATGCAAACTTAATACACTCTTATACAGAGAATGCTATGCATCCCCCCAACAATGCTTTTCAATTTTGCATACAACACGACAAAGCACTATAAATATTTTCTCCCGCGTAACGGATATAAATAGATTT